GCTTGGCTCAAAGTTTGCCAATGTGTAATCTGGAGAAACACATACCAGACACTATCCACAGATATAGTCAAGTAGATCTGGGTAGAGAATACTATTTCCAAAGTAGTGTTTAGCTCATCGAGGGGGACGTGTTTATATACACATTTTCATATACCCATAGGGGATTATGAGCTAATTTTTATAGGACACAATTCTATTCAATGCTGTTAAATATGCGAATAGTTTAATCTCTTTTCTTTTATTGTTTGATGGGAAATTGTGACATTCCAAGTTGACTTTTTTTTTCATTTGAATTAAAATTTTGAAACTCCGAACACCCTCAACACCCTCTTGTCCCTATAACTGGGGTCATTTGACCTCTCACCTCCTTTCTTCCTTCCGCTTTGTGTTTGGGTGCCCTTCACTTAATTGCCTTACTGGCCATCTGATGGCAGGTGAGTGTGAGAGTAGGTTAGGGGTCTCCACACGAGAGGGACAGTTGCACAGTGTCCTGCTTCGGTGGAATGCCTCCTTTCCTGGATCTGGGGACAGCATACTCTTTTTCCCCAGCTCAGGAGTGGGTGAACATTACCTCCTGAGGTGGTCACCTCACAGAATGAACACGGTTGGTCACTGAGGGAGCCAGGCTCTGCCATCAAACTATAGGCCTCTTGTTGTGTTGTATTTTTGTTTTTAAAATAAAACTATAATATAAATTTTCCTATTAAATAAGATTATTTTAAGTTTTAGTGTCAAAAATGCATTGCCGATAGTAGATGATAATGTGTATTTTACCGAGTCTGAGATGGTGAGGTGGTGACAAATAACACAGTTACTCTGTCTCTTTTCAGATTATGGGTATTTATCCTCTATTAGTATCATATCTTCAATTCATTCCACATTAGGAGACATAGTTACCAATTATAAGTAGAAAGAGAGAGAGAAAAGCCAACACGTTCCAGCGTCTGCCCCCCAACCCCACCCCATATACACCTGCTTTGGCCCAGTGTCTGATATGATAGCAGAACAGGAAGATAATTCAGGCGATGGGTGTCAAGTTTCCTCTTGGTTGATTTCATTTCCCCTGTGCTCACAGGGAACAAAGGCACAACCCTTTCCATGATGTGGAGCAAAAGGAGCTGAGGTCAGCAAGCCAGTGGTTCTTAAGGGGTAACTTGTTTGGGGTTCTTTACTTCAACCTTAGAGTCTCCTAAGATGGAGATCCCGATTTACCCAGCTCAAGTGCTCTCCCATGTGTGCATGCGTGTCTCTTCCAAGAGGCCTTTAGCCATTCTCAATCCCTGTGTAATAACCTCACTCCTAGAGGGAGAAACCTAAGGTGAGGCCTGAGGGTGAGACACCTGATGCTAACCCGTTAATCAGCTGGCAGAACCGTGGCCACAGGTGGCTGTTGAGGTCCTGGCGAGAAGTCCTGGGCAAGGAGGGATTCTCGAAAGTCACGTCATCGGAGGGCGGTTTTTGAGCTTTCTATAAGCTATAGCTTTGTTTATTTCACCTGTTCACTCACTGTATAATTTAAAATCATTTATGTAGCCGAGACACTTTGGTATTTCAATCATATCATGAATGTTTTATTTTGCTAAAATCATGTGCCATGCGTAGGCTGTCAGTATACACTGTGTCTAAGAGAAGAAAGAGAAAGAAAGAAAGGAACCCCCATGCCTTTTCCTGATTCAAATTCTACAGTAGAATGGAGGGTAGAATACTGTGACACAAGCATTCAGCTAGACTGGAGTTCAAGGAAATAGAAGGTACTAGAAGCAGCCTCCTCCAGCCTCCTCCCCGTGGAATCCCAAGGGTGGGAAGGAGAAGAAGAAAACAAAACAAAAACAAAAGCACACGACGTCCTTGTCCTGTATCAGCTGCCCCTGGGTCACCTGCCACCCACTTCCAAGACCCTTTCTCCTACTCCCCCAGGAAGCTATGGTTTCTGCAAAGTCCGCGACCATGGCAACTGTGACACCGTGACACCGAGCTCTCTTTGTCTCATCCAGGCATCTTTTCTCCCTCTCAGCCAAGACATTCTTATGCATAGGCTTTTGCTTCCCAGGATTGCACTGTGCTGTAGCCAGGGTGGGGAGCATAAAGAAACCCCAGTACCTACCTTCTCCAGTCCTAACCCTGCCAAACAAACCCTGTTTCATGTTGTGCTTCTTAAACAGTAAAGGACACACAATGACTTTTGGGGATAGATCTGTCTGGGAGGAAAATGTGGGTCCAGGAAGCATTACCCTTCCTTGCCTCATGCCAAGGGGCAGTAGGTGGTTGGCTCCCAGCTACTTAAAGTTAAAAACATCACTCTAGTCTTTGTATCAGAGAAAAATTTAAAAAAACAATCTAATCTAATGGCAGAAGCACAACGAAATGGGAAAAGGCAGGAGAGGTGATCTCAACAGACTTAAGTTGGCTATTTAGATTGAGGAGGAGAGGACCTGAGAACATGACCATGCTCTGACGACAGGGGTACCTTAGATTCTCTATGACTACTTTTCCTCTAGCCAGTTGGCTGTGCTGAAGCCCAGTAATGACGAAGAGACACCAACCAGAGAAAACCCTGTCTAGAAGGAATGTATTTGTTGCTAAATTTTGTAGCACTGTTTACAGTTTTCCTCCATGTTATTTATGAATTTTATATTCCGTGAATGTATATTGTCTTGTAATGTTGCATAATGTTCACTTTTTATAGTGTGTCCTTTATTCTAAACAGTAAAGTGGTTTTATTTCTATCACACACCTGCTGTCTCTTGCCTTCTTGTGTCCTGTCTTGGGGGGTTATATCAGTATCAGAAAGGATTTGGCAAGCAGGTTCTGCCTGTCCTCCTCCACACTCCTGCACACAACTTCCTCCCACCCATGTCTACAGCTTAGGCCACCTTACCTAAACCCCTTTTTTGGCAACAGATTTCGAAAGAGTATATCCTTAGTCCCTTCTGGCTGCTAACCCAGCACAAATTTCACTCCTTCATTCTACTGGCAGGATCCAGTGTTCAAAAGATTTATTTTTTACCTAATCACCTGTGGGTAAACAGGGGTGGGACCTGTCTCAGCCTAACTCATATTTTCCCCTGAGAATTCCACGGCCGTAGTGGGAGTGGAAGCTTGCCGGCAGCCATAGTTGATGTTGGCGGTGTAACTGAAATCCTGAGTGAAGCTCCTGGTTGGGAATGCCAGGAATTCCTGAGGCCCTAAGACAACTGGGGAGCTTCTGCCAGCACTCAGTGAGCTACTCTCCACTACCATAGGACCACCTAACTGTGAGCCCTCCCTTGCCAGTGTTCCAGGTCATGGTCTTTGCCCCTGTTTGAAAGGTCCTCCATTCTGAGCACCCACCATATGCCAGGCACAACATTGTACTAGACTTTCACAGACCCTTATCAACCCGCTGCTCTACCACTCTCAATGAGACTAAATTCTTGTCTAAAATCTAGTCAGGGTGGTGATTAGTAACCAACTGCTTTAAAGGCAAACTGTGAACTTCCTTAGTTAGTTAATACATTTTCTGTGTTATCCATACCTTGCCACTGTAGTGATCAAATACCCGGAAGAAATATCTTGTGGTGGGGAGGATTTATTTTGTTTTGGTTCCTAGTTCCAGAGACTTTGGTTCACTGTGCCCATGAGGCTGTGATAGGACCAGCAGTTTTCATCATGGTAGATCAGATGGAGCAAAAGAGAATACCTAAACTCCAGCCTTCCTCCATTTCCTTTAATCCCATCTGGGCCCCCGACTTCATAGATGGTGCTTCCCACATTTCAAGTTGGTCTTTCCTGGCTCAGTTAATCCTCTCTGGAAAGACCCTGACAGACACTGAGAAAGTAATCTGTGTTTTTTTCATTGCAATCAAATTGATAATTCAGATTTACCATTATACTACTCAGACCAACCAGACATCCTGGAGTCTGTGATGGATGGGTACATACAGTAGAGAGACAACCCCAATGTGAAACTCAGACAACCTGGATTCTGTGAGTGATAGGTAGATACAGTAGACAGACAGGGCCAATGAGAGCCTCAGACATCCTGGATTCTGTGACTGATAGGTAGATACAGTAGACAGACAGGGCCAATGAGAGCCTCAGACATCCTGGAGTCTGTGATGGATGGGTACATACAGTAGAGAGACAACCCCAATGCGAAACTCAGACATCCTGGTTTCTGTGAGTGATAGGTAGATACAGTAGACAGACAGGGCCAATGAGAGCCTCAGACATCCTGGAGTCTGTGACTGATGGGTAGATGTAGTAGACGGACAACCAACAAGAGCCTCTGATTGACTCAAACAGGTTTGTCCAGTTCAGCAGTCAGAGCCTGAGATTCTACAATCAGACCACATTCCCTATTAGGATGAGTACATTACTCTTGTTCCCTGAGATTACTATTCCCTGCAAGGCCAGGTTAGCCTAATCACATAAGCAATCATGCTGTAGGCTGATTCCAGCAGCTCAAAACTCTTCTACCAGAATTCTAACCGTGAACATGTCTTAAACCTTCCAAACAGTAGTAAAGTTATAGACTCTCAGCTTGGCCTTAGTAGACTCCCAGTGATAACACAGGTGCACTTCAACGAATGGAAATTGAACATATAAGTACATTGTTCTTTAATAATCAGCTCAAATAAAATAGCACATATTTTATTAAAATCACAGTAAAAAAAACCAGGTCCCAGTAAAAGTGTGCTGAAGGTAACATTTTACTATAAAAATATTTTTGCCCTTTATACACAACCTCTAGTTCCAGGATGCCAGCTTAAGATGTCATTTGATGTGTCTCACAGAATGCCAAGTACCTTTGTTACTTGCCCTACTGCCTGAAACACCCCTGGAGAAGCTGAACCTTCCCCAGGGAACACTAGACATTTCCACAAGCACAGGACATGAAGGCTCCTATGTGGAGTCCAGGTAACCAGGGAGCAAGCCGTGAGCTGCCCAGAGACTCAGGAGACAGACATGTAAGGTCATCCCACATCATGAAGATAAGCAGAGATTAAAAAGGCACTCACCATTGGCTTGTGGTTGGGGAAAAATGTTTGCTCCACGAGTGGAAACTTCTCAGGACCCAAAGAATGGAAGATCTTAATGAGCTGAGAGAACTGGGAGAGAAAAGGAAAGCTCATTCATTACCCAGTCAGGGTTTCCCACTTGATCCTGACCTTCAAGCATCTGTCCTGGGCTAAGTTCTAGAAGCTGTTGCTCACTGTTAGGATAAAAAGCCAACTTCCTTGGCTGGGTGTCACCCTCTCTTGTCCCCCTTGTGCCTGCCCCTGAGCCGGGAGGTAGGCAGGTCACTGGCTTCACAGTTCAACTACATTTTACGAGCACTTAACTGCATGCTCGGCCATTTCACACAAGGTCCTTGTCCTCAGCACAACCTGTTGGGGGTTCTGCCATCCTCTGCCTGCAATGTCTGTATTTCTAGGATGGCATTCACTCCGAGTCCAGACTCTCTCATTCAGATTTTTACTGTTACTAGCTATGAGACCTGGAGGGGCAGGTTCAGAAACCCATTTCCTAAATTATAAATGGAGAATATATAAAAATCTCACTCACTGGATTGCCTAATTCATGGGGGTGATTAATATTTCTGCTTTTACAACTCTATACATTCTGAACATGCAGACAGGTCCCCACTGTGCATCACTTATTTCTTACTTCCTAATTGGTCCTCATATTAGCTTGTGCTTCCTGAGTAAGGGTCAGATCCAGTGGTCATCACATAGTGCTGTGCAGAGCTCACGCAGCATCTGGCATTATGTATGATGATTGGGACAACACTCCAAGCCTGCCAGGCCAGGCCTAGTGGAAAGACAGGCAACGCTACAAGGTTGAGATGCTAAGGTATTGCTGATGGGGAATTTGGGACATAGAGGAGAACATGGGTCATCAGGAAGGCTCCTTGTACCTATCCCATAAGAGGAAGAAGGGTACTCCATGTGTTGAAAGGACTGATTGTTTTTGAAGGCCTTCAAAGACTTCCATGGCTGTGGCCTCAGGTGCAGGGGGATAGTGAGGAGTCAGGCAAAGGGTGGTCTATCACAGGTCATCATGAGCTTTAAAAGGCTAGGCCAAGGATCTTACTCACTCAGAAGGCCAAGGAGAATTACAGGTGGATACCAGGACAACTTGGACTCTGCAAACCATGGTGACTAGAAGAAGAGACACATTCTGTGCCAGGAAAATGCCAGGATCTTAGACAGAAATAAGGAAGCTGGGGAAATGCCTGCTTTATACTGGGCTCCTATGCACTCTTGGGGAATAGCCCACACATGTAGCACAGAACAGAGTCACTCCAAAGGCTTGTAGAACTGTTCAGGGGTATCCCTAACTTTATAGACAAAGACATTGGAGTTCAGAGAGGGAGTATAACTCCATAGCTAAGTTGGTGGGCTTTGAAGAAAAGCTAGAGCCCTTACTGCCAGCCACATGGGCTTCGGTTTCCTCTTTTGTACAGTGGGGATATCTGGGATGTGTGTATTGGGGTTGAGCACACGCCATGGTGAGTGTTAATGAAGTTGCTGCTGTCAAAACCATGGCCTGTTTCCTTCTGATGGCACTCAAATCTTAGACCCCCATGAGCCAAAACCCTTAGTTATGACACAAAGAGCCAACACTACCCACGTCTATTAAATTAACTTAATTTAATTATTATTTCAACAAATCCTAAGAGCCATCCCAGCCTAGACTTAGTCCATGTGTAAGAGGCAAGAATTGCTGTACCACTTATTGTGAATATGCTGTATACCAGCTGCCACTACAAACTTTTTACATGCCCCCACGGAAAACCAGAAAAACCCTATTATCATCCTTTTTAAAATAAGGACACTAAGTTCAGAGAAGCTAACACAAATTGCTGAAGGATACACGTAAGTGGAGAAACTTGGCCTTGGTCAATCTAGCTCAGTGACCAGACTCTAATCAGTGCTTTTCACTCCCAGGTGATGGCAGACAGGTAGCCAAATGGGTGGACCACAGAAGTGAGACATTTCATAACATTCTCTCTATACCTCTGATCTTCCTTCATTTTTCCCTGAGGTATGTACCATAGGACAGATGACACAGCTGTCATATTTGGTAGTAGACTGTTTCACTAGAACAGTAGACTAAGGGGCGGGTACTCTGATGCCATTACTGTGTGGTACTGCATTGCTTGTGTTAAGGGAGATAAATGACAGATAAAGGAATGGTGTCATTTAGGTCCAGAGCCATGTGTGGAGTAATAGAATAGTGGAGGATGGGTATTTTTAGGAAGACCCTTTTGTTTTTGTACAATACTTGAATGGAAACTTGAGTAAACAAATTGAAGGTTTGAGACTAGTGATCAGTGGGGAGAAACCAAGTGTGAGAGTTAGATAAAGAGGGCTTCGAAGTTCAGTTTTTGCCATTCACTAGTCCTAAGTTCCCAGAGAGTTCTGAAGTTAAGCCTTCTCCTCTGTAGGACAGAGCAATGGTGCCCTCTTCAACTACAGTGATAGGATGGGTACCCACAACAGTTTTCTGGTATTTAGTAAGTGTTTGATAACTTTGAAGAGCAACAATAAGAAAATTATACTAAGACATTAAAAACAACAAAGTATGTTTGTTTGTTTGTTGTTTGTTTGAGTCAAGGTCTCCCATAGCCTGGGCCGGCCTAGAACTCTTACTACATAGCCAAGGATGACCTTATTTGATCCTCCTGCCTCTATCTCCTTAGTGCTGGAATTATAGGTACATCAATGCATCTGTTTTACACAGCACTGGAGACTGAGCCCAGCCCTTTACCAACTGAGCTATATCCTCAGAAAGACTAGTATTACTATTCCATGATCCTGTACTACAATGTATTCTACATAATATTTTCCAGGTTGTAATTTCCAGAAGAGACCTGGGGTCAAGTTGCTTAAATAAGATTCTTCTCCTTGCTGAGGGTCTGTATGGTGAATGGAGCCATTTACAACCTAGGAGACCACCTAATGCTCCCCACTTCCCTCCACGTGGGCTGTCTTTCACCTACCACCCAGGGCTTGCTGCAGAAGTTGTATACGGAATACAGAGAGTTGACAGCAGGAAGCCCTCCATACTGAAGGCCGATGACCAGGCTGCGGTAGTCCTCAGCCAGGGCCATGCTGTAGGCATGCTGTCGAACCAGGATGAAGTCCGGTTTGAAGGACCTGCCAAGAGAGGGGCAACAGCTGTATTATCACATGGCAGTATAACCAAGGTTTGTTGGTTATAGCCCTGACCCTACGTGGTTGCTATCTGTAGGAGCTCTCAGCTGAGAGGGCAGGTAGGGGAGGCTGGTAATAACTCACCACTACCCAGCTGCAAACCAGATGAGTTGAAAAGAACAGATATTTTCTTGTGTTGGGGTTTTAGGTTGTTTCCTAGATTCCCATTTAATTTACAACAAAGAGAAACATGTCCTAAATAACTGAGCAATAGAATAACTTCTTGCTAGGTTCTGAGCAACGTACAGGATACCCATACTCCTTTGGGTATTGGATGCTTTTGGCTCCCATTCCTCAGAGGTACATTCTAATACCCAGGAAGATACATAATTGCTCAAAGTGACATGTTGCAGGTAACTGGCAGGGTTATGTCTACAGTTGTCAACTGCTGGCAGCTTGACTTCTTCCTTGTAGATTTTCCAACAAACTGGCCTTGTGCTTTCTAAGTAGCACAAGAAAATGGCAAAGACCAAGGGTACACAGGTTCTTTGCTGGTCCCTGTGGAGACAGGGTCCTGATGAATGCTTCCCAATAGAGTTGGGGGAGGTCTGGGATATGTTCCCCTTGCCCAAATTTACAGCAAGGAGGATTTGCAACTCTGAGAAATTAAGTCCCCCAAACCACAAAGCTGGTGAGCAGGAGAGTTGCCTTTGAATTCTGTCACTGGTTTAAGTCCTTATGCTTTTTACCCCACACCCTGGCGCCTGGCAGATTTACAGTGTTTTATTCACACTGTCAAAAGCCAACTTATTTCTGTGCTCCTTACTTCTAAGACACATGAGAGACCTAGCCTCACAGTGGGCAGAGGGTGGATACTCAACACGGCGCCATTGATCTGTCTGCCTCAATTGGAGTCATATCCTTAACTTCACAAAAACTGTCTCTTTAAAATGATTCAAATATAATCTAAAATAACTCTTAGACAGAAGGACTTGCTCCTGCCGAGGATAGAAAAAAAGAATATGCACAGTGCAGACACGTACTGGGTCACGTTGACCTTGGTTCTCAACAGATACCCCAGTGTCTGACACCTCCAGGGCAGGTATGTGATGGGTAGGTGCGGTGGAGATGCCTATGAACATCACCACCCCCTCCTGTCAAAACAGATGCTAAGTGCTAACTTATCTCCACAGGTCACTTAAACCAGACTGTGGTATGTCTTCAAGTCTGACACACAATGCATTTATAGGAATGGTTAGCCTTAGTGTAGGAAAGTTAAAGTTAGAATCTGAAGTGCTGGAGAGATGGCTTAGCAGTTAAGAGCACCAGCTGCTCTTCCAGAGAGCCTGGGTTCAAGTCCCAGCAACCACACGGCAGCTCACAACTGTCTGTACCTCCAGTTCCAGGGGAATCTGACACCCTCACACAGACATACATGCAAGCAAAGTATAAATGCACATTGCACATTAAAAAAAAGAATCTTAGAATAAGAGCAACTGAGATGGAGGAATGAAGGTGGATTTGATGGCAATCAGAAGCAACTGCATGGGAACCATTTTCTTCTTTTATATGATTTACCAAAAAAAAATCTATGGAATGTAAAAAGAAGTAAACAAATTACTGGAGATTTTACAAAATGCAGAGAGAAAATTCCTAACAATCTTTATATACACACTTTGATCCAACTATGTATTTTACTATACACAATGTGCACTCATACACATAATTGATTTCATGCTTTTCTATCAGTTATGATTCTGGAATTTTCTACATAATGCAATGACATGAATAGTTTCTCTATAAACACAATCCCTATAAAAACAAATTTCTTTCTTTTTCCTTTCTTCTTCTCTCTCCCCTCCTACAGCTCCTTCCTCATCATCTTCCCTTCCTTCCTTTTCCCTCTCTTGCTCCTCCTTTTCCTCCCCCCTTCATCATTGCTGGGAACCATATTCAGGGCCTTGAACAACTAGACGAGCACTCTGTTTTCTTTCTTTGGTAATTTCCTCACACTAGCCCTAAAGGATACCTCCCCATACTACTTTCAAGTTTAATCTCCCCAGGTTCCATCTCATGACCCTCAGGGCTCTTTGTTTTGTTGTTTCTGTTTGCTTGTTTGCTTTTGTTTTTATTTGCAGTCCTGGGTACTAAATCCAGAACCTTGGGCCTATTCTATTGAGCTATATCCCATTAATTTTATTTATTAATTTATTTATTTGAGACATGATCTCATTAAGTTGCTCAGACCAGTCTTGGACTCCCTCTGTAGCCTAGGCTTGCCTTAAACTTGTCTTCTTGCCTTAATCTCTCAAGTAGCTGGGGTTACAGGCCTGTAACCACTAGGCTTGCAACACTGCAGTTAAGAGTTTTGATCTGATGAGTGGCATTCCCTAAAAGATACCCTGCATCTTTCTGTTTTTGGAGTTCGATTTTTTAAAATCAATCATTTGCTTTGTCATTTTTATATGTCTCTGCTCACATCTATCCCCATAAAAAAAAAACCTCTCCCTTTTATTCCCTTATAAGGCCTCTGCAGTAAGGATACTGCCTTTTCTCTATCAAGTGTGTTGGTATTTTTTACTAAGTGTATCTTCTTAAGAAGGCACATGAATGTATTTACTTCACACTTCTATCTGCTATTGCCTTTTGCTTTTTCTCTGTGCTTTGCTGCTTAGAGGGTCCAGACAGTTAGGCAGAACCCCTTTCTGACAGGGTGGTCTTCATTGTAGACAGTGACAGTCTCAGTATCATGCCAGGGCCGCCTTGAGGAAGCAGTTAGAGATCTCATGCTAACCATCCTCCTAGCTTCTCTAACTGTGTGAAGAATTCATTACAGGGACAGAACCAGGAAAATACAGTCAAACCTCACTGCTTATGAAGAGAGTGGCCAGACCAGCCTCCAAGAATAGAATGGTGTTTTTAAGAAAAGATTTTATTTTTATTTATGTGTCTGTGGGGGGTGGGATACAGACAAGTTGTGCATGTGGATACAGTGCTTACAGAGGCCAGAAGAGGGCACCAGTGAGAGTGTGCCTAGGAAGAGCAGAACTCAGGATCAAATTCTCCTGATTTTGCATCTCTCCATTTGCAAACTGATTACTGTGGTCAGAACTGATTTTAGATTAGGACCCAGGAAGAATGAATGACCCTATCAGACTTCCTGGAGTTGCTGTGAGTGAACTGTAAGGAAAAGGGGTGGTCAGCTAAGAAGTTCGCTGATGGAGATCTCTCTCTCTCTCTCTCTCTCTCTCTCTCTCTCTCTCTCTCTCTCT